TTGTGCATCAGTACCATGGCTCTGCGTTCCAAGGCGCCAAGGCCTGCTGCCAATTTCCAGCAGCGGAGCAACTAGCAATGGCTGCACCGCAAAGCACCAAGTCCTGGGTTGAGATCTCACAAGCAATGCGCATTAACGTTGGTATAGCAATTTAGAGGGGGATCTGCCTCAGTTTGGAATGGCGTATCAAAAAAAAGAGAACTACTGAGGACTGAAGATTGTAGCCCGCCCACCTACTCACAACCGATGCACCTGACTCTCAGGTGCCGTAGAAGGAGGATGCTTTGATGAACCTGCTAATCATGGCGCCCCCCTAGACGACATTGAAAGAGAATCAGCAACAGGTTCACTAGATTGATTTTGGGCGGCCAGCCGTTGCCAAGAGATCCTCAAGCTGCACTGAATGCCAGGAGAGCAATCAGGGAGCCCACAAGAAACAACATCCCCCTCTCAGTTCAAATCTTTGTTCCATACGATTCAGCCTGCAAGCAAGACGCCGGCTCCATCTTGCTTGAGGCCACATGTGATACGAGATGTAAGGCTGCCTGCCAGCGCTGCCCTTTGGTGCATGCCTCAGTTGAGAGCTTCTCGCTTCCGAAGGCTCTGATGCTGGTTTTGACGAACCCAAAAAGAACCGCAAGTGTCAGAAGGTCCCAGCGTGCGCGTTTATGCTGCAGAGGTCACAGCCTTAGAAAGCATCCTTTCTACAAGATTCCTGGGGAACTCAAGTATTAGCTACCAAACTGGATGAAGATGCGACTAAGCGAGCATGCAGTAGCATCAGCTCTGCAAGGCTTCGACTTTTTCGACGCTGCATAACCCAAAAGCGGGACGCCCATACTTCACTCTGTATCCTGGGGATACTACTTCAAAAAACCCACGGTGCGTTCTTAGGCCACGATGCGCTGATGCAGGAGCTGTATGCTACAGCATCGCTCTGCAGCCTGGTCTTCTCCAGCTGCGCCAGTAGGACCAGAGCACTTTCCCATTTCGCGCTCCTTGCACCTGGAAGCGTCATGCCATGTAATTATGGGATCCTTAAAGGGGGCCCTTACATGGGGGACCCAAAATTAAGCCTCCCTTAGGGCATCCATAATGTAACTGTCACGACCTGGATGACAAGCATGGAAGAAACTACATTCCTGCTTGTGGCCAAGTTGCATTTGCCAATTGCTGCGCTGTAGACAATGACCTTGCTTCAAGCAACTCCTTTCAAAATCGGACTGAAGTGGCGCATGCTTAATTCATAGTGTAGACCCTTCGGTCAATACACTCTCCGCCCTGCATAATAACACCAGTCAAAATTAGGATTCTTACAGCATGGGCACAGCATTCTCAGCCTCCTTTTCTTTAACAAGACCCCTAAGCCAAGCCTCCTTTTGACAAAACCCTTGAGCCCAGCCTCCGTTTAACAAAACCCCTAAACCCTAAACCCTAGGCCCAGGGTTTAGGGTTTAGGGTTTAGGGTTTAAGGGTTTAGGGTTTAGGGTTTAGGGTTGGGGCCCTACACCCTAGAAGAGGGACCCGTGTTACACGCATGCTTCCTTCCCTGCCCAGAACCGGCCACCACCAACTAGCTCGGCCATGTCTCAAAATGTGGGTCCTCCTTGTATAGGGACTATATGGTTTAGGATTTGTATGGTTTAGGGTTTAGGGTTTAGGGTTTAGGGTTTAGGGACGATATAGGGATTGTACAGTGATTATATAGGGGTAAGAATAAAAATTATATAGGGATAATGAGAAATGAAATGGAAACTAATATTGAGGGTTTAGGGTTTAGGGTTGCTGTTAAAGAACTGAAAAATAAGTTACCATAATGGGTGTGTATAGTAACTAGTATTTTTGCCCCAATATACTGACTTAAATCAAGTTCCTGAACAGCAAGAGAGAAAAATCGGCCAATGGCTTAGGGTTTAGGTCTTTTTTGAGGGACCTGGGTTTAGGGCTAAGATTCCTTTGCAAAGGACCTGTGCAAAGGGGCCTCCGATATTAGGATGCCTCACTCCATGCAGCTCAGACAAATTCAGTTTCCATTTCATTTTCCATTTCTTTTCCATTTGATTCTCCATGATAGGGGGATAATATGGCAACTTCATTTAAGTTCCTTAACAGCAACCCTAAACCCTAAGCCCTCAATAGTAGTTTCCATTTTATTTTCCATGATCCCTATATATCCCTATTATTACCCCTAAATAAATATAGTAGTTTCCATTTTATTTTTCCATGATCCCTATATATCCCTATTATTACCCCTATATAATTATAGTAGTTTCCATTTCATTTTTCATGATCCCTATAGTACCCCTATTATTACCCCTATATAATCACTATAGAATCTCGCAAACTCATCATGAGCTCCTGAGCTACACCTCATGTATTCCAGGAAGGCCTACTAGCCGAAGACATGCACATGGGTGGTTCTCAAAATGATGGTCCCTTTTTGGCTCCCTACTATAATACAGCACCTAATATTTAGGGTACCCAAAAAGGGACCATAATTTTGACAACCACCCATTATAACCCCAATATATACCCTAAACCCTAAACCCTAAACCCCAAACCCTAAACCATAAACCCTAAATCTATATAACCCCAATATATACCCATGTACAGTAGGAAATTGCAAAGCCGAGCAGCGTTGAGATGTTCCGCATCCACCTGGAGGTGACAGGGTTGCGGTTCGCATCTGGGGGCGCATGCCTCAATTGTCCTACCATCTTGGCCATATATAGGGGTAATAATAGGGGTTAGATAGGGATAATGGAAAATAAAATGGACACTACTATTGAGGGTTTAAGGTTTAGGTTTGCTGTTAAAGAACTTAAATTAACTTTGGGAAGTCGAACCCATCAATGCAAAGGCAAAGGAAAGCCCCACAAGAGTAGGCTTGAGGAACCTCAACAATCCCTTCCTGCTTCCCCGATTGACATTGACGATGGACCGTATAAAGAGCTGTTAGGGTGTGTTAGGCGTTTGGGGCAGCTTTGGAGGGTCCGGCCCTGAACCTGGAGCCAGGCGACCCTGCGCTAGAATCGCTTGAGGCTCCTCTCAGCATTCAGAAAACTACTACATCAAATATGCCAAGAATCTCCCTTTTGAAAGGTATGGCGTGCCGCTCCGAATAATGTCACATATTGGGGCCCCGCTTTTAAGGGAAACTACCATATTGTTGTGCGCTGTGCACGGCCCTCGCACGGAATCTCCCCCAGCCCCAACTTTCTTCACCACACGGGGTGGGGGAGTGGGGGTCCGTTCTGTCTCTTTCGTTGTGATGTAAATACATTCGAGAACCGTTTACGGAGCCCAGACAAATCGTTCGTGATAGTTTCTTCCCCTGCGTATGTTATATACGAATGATTTACATACACTATACATGCTACATACATACACATACACATACACATACACATACACATACATATACATATACATATACATGTACATACACATATACATACGTTCAGCCTTCCTTCGAATTTTCTGTGCATTTTTCATACAATTCTTGGCGCCAATCCGCACTTACTGTCCCCAAGGCCAACCAGGCGAGAGTGGGTGCTGTTATCATGCGAATTCTTGTAGTTCCTGTAGTAGCTCGTGGCGCAAATCTACCCACCAACAAGCAGCAAACGAGCAAGCAGTGCCTGGGCAAGGATTTGCAACGCCTCCTTCCAAGAGCGGACAGACCTCGGAGAAGCCTAAACCCCAAACTCTAAATCTAGCAGCAGCAGGCAAAACTGAGGCATGAAAGGAGGAACCCAAAAACTTACTGGCTCTAAGTAGGGAATAGGGGAATACAGTACATAGAGATTATGTAGGGGTCATACTCCCAGGTTCCTAAGAAAAGGGGAGGCGGAGAGGGCATTGAGTGAAACGATGCAAAGGGAGAATGAGGAAGCACGAAGAGCCATCCAACGCTCAAGATATGTCACCATGCCCCCCCCAGATCCTTAAACCCCAAGCCCAATTCAGAAGTACGCTGTTGCCTTTTGTGCTTGTTGTGGGTTTGTGGTTTGCACTTGCCAAAACTCAAATTCCCTCAGAGGAGGGCCCATGTCTCAGCAGAGCAGCTTAATCTGCGAAACAGCATGGGCGGGAGAGCGACAAGCATTCCCAGCTGGTGCGCCCACCATCCATGGCGTGTGTTGGCCATGGATTGCAGCCCACTCGGGCGCTTCCAGGACTGCTACTTGAAGGGTCCCTAGAGATTTCCGTGAGGCCGTACAAGGTTTAGAGGCGCCAAAAAAAAAGCGCGTCGGTTGCACCTGCAAGGACTAAGGTCTAGGGGTGGGGGCTCAGAGATTTCCAGATTTTGGGAGTGATGCTGGGCTCTGGGGGCGGATGAGGCCAAACATGAGCTAGGCCAGGAAGCATGCAGAGCGGTTCTAGGCAACAATACATGATTCAAACTCTTTGGATGATGTCCTAACTACCACTTCTTTTTACCAGGCTTGGCAGCTCAGCTCAAATACGGCTTTTGAGAGAGAAATGTCAGGGGTCCTCAGGTCTAGAACTGCCACCTTCACGCAGGGATCCTGGGGATGTAACGGGATTAGAGTGACATAATGTCCTCATTCCCCTTAAGGGGTATGCAGACAATGTAGTTTGGAAATTCCCATCTAGCTTGACTTCGAGATCTACTCATCCGTCTTCCATGGTCTAATCTGGGTGCAAAGCACCTCTTTAGTTTCCTTCTCCTGCCACTCTACTATATGCCACATGTGAAGGACCATAGACCCCTCAACCCTAAAACCCTATATAACCCAGTAGAGTAGTCTCCATTTTCTTTTCCATTATCCCCATACAATCCCAATATAGCCCCAATATACTCCCTGTATAACCCCTATATAACCCCAAAATACTCCCTATATAACCCTTACAGTATGTATCTAACCTCAAAATAATCCCTATATAAACCTATAAAACCCCCAAAATAATCCCTATGTAACCCCTATATAACCTCTATATCACCCCTATAAATATTACCCCCATGCATCGCGCTCCGGCAGCTTCTGTGGCTTGCAGGCGCGGACACCGTTGGTGAAGAGGCTGATCTCAGCTGGACAGGCTTCCGGGGTTTTGTAACCTTCATTAAGGTTTAGGGCTTAAGGGTTTAGGGTTTAGGGCTCAAGGGTTTAGGGTTTAGGGCTTAAGGTTCAATGATTTGGCTTTCCGTCAGATGCCGGATCTCTACTTGAGAGGGAAAAGGAAAGGAGTTCTTCGCGGGGAGCACATATATATATATATATGTGTACATATATATATATTCTAGTATACTATGCTATGTTATAGTATATGAATAGTATTTACTTTGTATTGTATTATGGTATACTATACACGTTGCGGGCTGTTCTGGAAGGTCCTCATTGGGCACGCTTGGAGACCCTTGAGCCACGGATTGCCATCATTCCAACCTAAAGGAAGGGGTATCATGGTTTCCCCTACTACCCTCCTCCCCCCTATATTCTACGCCCCCCCCTAGGTTCCTCCCTTAATTAGTTAAGGTAATTCAGTGTTAATTAGTTTTTGTGGGGGGAAGGGTGGTGATAAGGAAACCTATGAGGGTAGCATGCAATTTGCAGAAGCATCTGCTTGAAAGCGGGCATGGTCACCGTAGGAAAAATCAGGTTGGTGGGGCCAGGACCGGGACCAACCTGACCAGGACCGAGGCAAGCAAACTACAAGCGCACCCTGTACCAAATATTCGTGAATCCATAAATATACTAATACGAATAATACAAACAATCATAATGATAATGATACTGAGAAGAATAATACTAATAACAGTACTAATAATACTAATACTTATACTAATAATCCTAAACCCTAAACCATGATGCTAACTCCAAGTGACTGAAGGTGAGAACCTAGTTCTGACCTGCGTGTTTTCCTACCTAGATAAGGCCCGATTGTGGACATTAGGTCCTGGCCTTGTTCCTCGCTGGCTTGCACCCTAAGCTCTGAATATCAAACTGTCTGGGTCATCTTCTTAGGCCAAGATTTTGCCTGGCTTAACATCCCTACAAACCTAACCTGGAGCTCTATCCACGGTAGTCATGTACCAGCAGAGCATGGGGAGGAGTGACGGCTCTAAGGCTCGAAGAAAACCCATTGAACCTGTAGCCTAAGGGATTTGGAACCCCAGTA